ATGTCTCCTAGCATGTCCCAATATTCCCTGAGAGATGAAATTACCTGCAATTGAGGTCTACTAAATTAAACCAAAATTAATCTATTACTTCATATTATTTAAAAGGTTCGTTGGATACAGGGCTCAAATGCTATTTTTTGAAGCATCTCTTTGGACTCCATTCTCTGTTGTGCCTCCATTGTCAGACTTCCAGTTGCTCTAGGCGTACATTATCACAATGACCAATTCAAAGAAATACAGAAGACTTCTCTTTCCCAGAAATCCCACAGATGACTTACCACATCTCATTGGCTCTGGTTGGTTACGGGTCCATCTTAAGACAACCTCCCTCGGTTTATTCCAATTAGGGGGCTCTTGGAGCTGGGACCACATGACTGACAGCAGGGAAAGGTTGAATTTTTCATTCCAAAGAAACTTAAGGCAGAACTGTCAGGAAAAGGAAGTAATGGATTTTATGAAAGCAACTAAAAACGCTTCACTATTGACCTGACAGGGAGATCTATTTGGGGAGTGTTTAAGAGTACCTTGCCATGGTGATGATAGTTAACATATATCTGTAATTTGCTAAGATGATAGATTATATATCTGTAATTTGCTAAGATGATAGATCTTTAAGTCTTCTGAACAGACACAACACATATACAGACACACACAAAATGGTAACTATATAGAGGTGATGGATATGCCAATTAACTTGATTATGGTAATTATTTCACAATGTATATGTATATCAAAGTATCGCATTGTACAAGTTAAGCATATATAATTTTTATATGTCAATTATATATCAATACAGTTGTTTTAAAAAGAGGTATTTTCTAGGGAAAGCCTAGGGATAGTGGTAGAGAGGGAGTTAATATACTCTGGGTTTTTGAATGCTTGTAAATGAAGCACTCAATGACACTGTATAGTTCCTACAGCTCAAATCAATAAAGTCTCACAAAAGGAAAAACAACACAAAAGTGCCTCTGAACAACTAAGCTTTAGAATGTTGAGGGAGACAAATGTACAAATACATATTGTTAACCATATAACTGTTCAATTCAGAACATTTTTGGGTATGAGAGTGCTATAGTTTTGATATGACTTGTTTAATCCCTACAAATCTTGTTGAAATTTGATTCTCAATGTTGGAAATGAGGGCTGATGAGAGGTGTTTGAGTCATGGGGACAAATCCTTTATGAATGGCTTGGTGCAGTGCTCAAAGTAATGAGTAAGTTCTCACTCTATTAGTTCCCAAAAGAGCTGATTATTAAAAAGAGCCTGGTACCTTTCCCCCCTTCTGTCTCTCACTTCATGTGATTCACCTTCAGCCATGAGGAAGAGCAGCATGAGGGCCTCACCAGATGCAGACGGCAGCACCACACTTTTTGTACAATCTGCAGAACCATGAATCAAATAAGCTTATTTTCTTTATAAATTATCCATCCTTAAGTGTTCCTTGGTGGCAACACAAAAATAGACTAAGACAGAAAGCATATGCTACTGATAATCACTCTAGGAGAACATGCAAACCAAGAGTGTGGCCACTTTACTTATCACTCATTGTATTAGTTCATTTTTCATGCTACTGATAAAGACATACCTGAAACCAGGAACAAAAGAGCTTTAATTACACTTTCATTTCCACTTGGCTGGGAAGGCCTCAGAATCATGGCAGGAGGTCAAAAGCACTTCTTACATGGTGGCAGCAAGAGAAAAATGAGGAAGAAACAAAACTGGAAACCCCTGATAAATCCAACAGATCTCATAATACTTATTCACTATCATGAGAATAGCATGGGAAAGACTAGCCCAGATGATTCAATTACCTCACCTGCATCCCTCCATAACACCTGGGATTTCTGGGAGATACAATTCATGTTGAAATTTGAATGGGGACACAGCCAAACCATACCGTTCCACCCCTGACCCCTCCAAATCCCATGTCCTTATTTCAAAACTAATAATGCCTTCCCTGCAGTCCCCCAAAGTCTTAACTCATTTCAGCATTAACCCAAAAGCCCACAGTTCAAAGTCTTATCTGAGACAAGGCAAGTCCCTTCTGCCTAAGAGACTGTAAAATCAAAAGCAAGTTAGTTACTTCCTAAAACATTGTGAGTACAGGCTTTGAGTAAATACAGTCATTCCAAATGGGAGAAATTGGCCAAAGCAAAGGGGCTACTGGCCTCATGTAAGTCTGAAATCCAGCAGGGCAGTCAAATCTTAAAGCTCCAAAATGATCTCCTTTGACTCCATGTCTTGCATCTAGGTTACACTGGTGCAAGAGGTAGGTTTCCGTGATTCTGGGCAGCCCTGTATCTGCGGCATTGCAGAGTGCAACCTCCCTGCCAGCTGCTTTCATGGGCTTGTGTTGAGTGTCTGCATTTTCCAGACACACAGTGCCAGCTGTCTATGGGGCTACCATTCTGGGGTCTGGAGGATGATGGCCATCTTGTCACAGCTCCACTAGGTGGTGCCCCAGAAGGGACTCTATGTGAGGGCTCTGACCCCACATTTCCCTTCTGGACTGCCCTAGTAGAGGTTTCTGTGAGAGCCCTGCTCCTGCAGCAAACTTCTGCCTGGTCATCCAGGCATCTCTATACATCCTCTGAAATCTAGGGAGAAGTTCCCAAACCTCAGTTCTTGACTTCTGTACACTGGCAGACTCAACACCACATGGAAGCATGCAAGGCTTGGGGCTTGTACCCTCTGAAGCCATGGCCTGAGTTGTACCTTGGCCCCTTTCAGTCACAGATGGAGTGGCTGGGATGTAGGGCACCAAGTTGCTAGACTGCACACAGCACAAGGACCCTGGGTCTGTCCCATGAAACCATTTTTTCCTCCTAGGCTCTAGGCCTGTTATGGGAGGAGCTGCCTTGAAGATCTTTGCCATGCCCTGGAGACATTTTTCCCATTGTCTTGGGGATTAACATTTGGCTCCTCATTACTTATGCAAATATCTGCAGCCAGCTTGAATTTCTTCTCAGAAAATGGAATTTTCTTTGTTGTCGCATTGTCAGGCTGCAATTTTTTTGAACTTTTATGCTCTGTTTCCTTTATAAAACTGAATGCCTTTAACTGGAAACCCAAGTCACCTCTTTATTGCTTTGCTGCTTAGAAATTTCTTCCACCAGACACCCTAAATCATCTCTCTCAAGTACAAAGTTACACAAATCTCTATGTCAGGGGCAAAATGTTACCAGTCTCTTTGCTAAAACATTACAAGAGTCACCTTTGCTCCAGTTCCCAACAAGTTCCTCATTTCCATCTGAGATTACATCAGCCTGGACCTAACTGTTCATATCACTATCAGCATTTTGTGAAAGCTGTTCAACAAGTCTCTAGGAAGTTCCAAACTTTCCCACATTTTCCTGTCTTCTTCTGAGCCCTCCAAACTGCTCCAACCTCTGCCTGTTACCCAGTTCCAAAGTCACTTCCACATTTTGGGGTATCTTTTCAGCAATGTCTGACTCTACTGGTACCAATTCACTGTATTAATCTGTTTTCATGCTGTGGATAAAGACATATCCAAGGCTGGGCAATTTATAAAAGAAACAGATATAATGGATGTACAGTTCCACTTGGCCAGGGAAACCTCACAATCATGGTGGAAGGCAAGGAGGAGTAAGTCACATCTTACTTACATGGATGGCAGCAGGCAAACAGAGAGCTTGTGCAGGGAAATTCCACCTTATAAAATCATCAGATCTTGTGAGACTTATTCACTATGACAAGAATAGCATAAGAAAGACTAGTTCCCGTGATTCAATTAACTCCCCCTGTGTCCCTCCCACAACATGTGGGAATTCTGGGAGATACAATTCAAGTTGATATTTGTGGGGACACAGTCAAAGCATATCACCCATCTTGTTTAGCATCTGATGCTTCAGAGTTGTTCCTTTGAGTTCCATATTTCCTATTTCTACATATTTCTATAAATATTCCTATAAACATAGCCCTAAAAATTGAAGGTGTCTAAAGGATTGATGCAAAGTTACTGAAAGAAACCAGTGTAAATGTAATTATAGTCCTGTGATTTAAAAAAGGTAAAAGAAGAACCATGGAAATCCAATCTATGTGTTATAAAATTATAACCTATGGTTATCAAGTCGCAGAGATGATGGAGTTTTTGTAGGAACTTCTAAAGAGGATAAGGATAGACTTATGTTTGAGAACTATGGAGACAGAACACTAAGCATACCACTAAACTGAGAACCACAAGTAGGATCCAAGTGTTCACATTGCACACCTGGAGACAGCAAGGAGGTGACACTCCAGGAAAGCTGAAAAGATAAGTTTAGAATCATAACAAACAATCCTAGGTTTAATCCCAGCTTGCCAATCAAAGTCATTTAATTGTTATGTGCTGCTTTTAAGCTGGACTCAATATGAAAATGTTTCTGGCATAAAATATACATTTCTCTGGATCAGAGGCCACCCAAGCTTTCAGCAAAAGAGATCTTAGTTGGCCTAGGCATTTGTGCTCTTCCTTCATTCTTCCTTAAGCCTGAGAAGTTGTGCATGATCTTGCAGCTTTGATGAGAAGCCTAGAGAAAAACTAGAGGTGAGGTCATAGAGATTGGGAATCCTTGCTGTAGTTAAGAGGCAGTTACTTCTTTTGAAACATGCATTCAAATTTCTCCCTGAGATATTTTTCTCAGGTGGCTTTCTGAGATAATATTTTACTGTTTACCTCTCTCTACAACATCAACTTTTCTTGTTCTTAAAATATACCTTAATATGGACCTTAAGGACTGATGAAAATAGATCTTAAAATATAAGTTAATATAAAATATATTTTAATAATAAAATATAAATTAGGATTTAAGAGTATATTAAATATAGGAAAAGTGTATTAAATATAGGAAAAAAGCCAAGCTACATAATAGCTACATTAAATTTGTGTAAATAGGTAAGAGATTCCTGGACTATTTACATGTATCAAATGGGACTAAATGTTTAAATGGAATTCCTAAAACTCCTCAAGTTCTACCATCAGTAATTAAATAAAAAGTCAGTTAAAATGAATACTACATCGTAGCCAATGAGGTTTATCTGAGGCGCCATTATTGCTAATAGAAAACTTTTCCCAATGCCCCACCATGACAACTTAAAATATAGTCGGCATTGGCAATTTTTGACAATCTCTACGGAGACTGAATAAAAAAATAAATAAATAAATAAAAAAGAAAATGAATACTACATAAATAATTCTAAGTATATGTTGAGGCAGACACCTACTCTGGAGAAGTAGGTATAATTTTGAAATACAAACTCAGAGCATGGCACCTGCACTTATATTACAGTAATCAGAGGAAGGAACATTTAAACATAACACATAATCCTAAGGATACTACTTGTTGGTATTGTTGGGAAAAGGAGAAGAGAGGTTTGAGTCAGTCATTTTACTAACATTAAATGACAGTAAAATGCTACAACATACAACACCAGAAGTCATACAGAAATTAAAATATAAAATAAATATGAGAACCATAAGAAATCTTTGGGATAAGAGTTAAAGTTCAAGAAAATTTAAAGGCATTTCATTAGAATCTTCCATGTAATTTGATATATAATTGTTTAAATGGATCTTTTTACTTTAGGAATGTAGGCTTAAGTGGAGGCTGAATACTTTCAATAAACTGTGGTGGGTGCTGTTTAGATGACATGTACCCTGCTATATTCATTTCATCTGGAAGCCAAAGAGCTTATTTGTAAATTCTGAAAAGACTGAAAAATTTTCATCTTGTTTTCCAACATTAAAATCTCAAGCACTGCTCATTATGATTTTTAAAAACATATGTTCTGTATGACTTCCGGCAGTCTAGAAAAATAGATGGATAGATACTGATAATACATATGATTTTACTGGCTGATGACTTTTTAAAATTTTATATAATGAATGGTACATTAAATTGAGAGAAAGAGAAGATACCCATGAAAATTATAGGGTATATAATTTTATGAGTAATTTTTTGCAGTACTTTTTATAAGAATAATATTGAACAGGCATTATGTTATGATTACAATCATTCTTATTTGCTTGCCTTATATAGCCTTTTTCATATTACATAAAAGAACAAAAACCTGTTCTCATAGAAAAATCCAATAGTCTATAAACTGAAAGGAATTAGAATCATTTTCTTCAATTTAAAGAGGTTGCAGAATCCTGAAGATTAATACAAGGCTATCAAAATTTACACCGAGTAAGCATTGTGATAAAGAATCAAGCCAAAAGTGTTTATCTCTGCTGTGAGGCTTTCAGCAAACCACTTCTTTTTGAGGATATCTATCTCTTCATGTGTAAGTTGACTAGACAGTCTCTCAGCATTGTCTAGCTCTATAATTAAATCATTTTGTTCAAAGTTTATGCTCAATTAAAACTGAAATTTTCTAGAGCATGGGAAAGTCAAAAAAAGGCATAAACTAGGACAGATCTCATTTTAAATTAACTGTACAAGCAAGCAGCCTCAAAAAGGAATGACATACTGATTCATGCTACAATATGGATAAATCTTAAAAATGTGGTAAGTCAAAGAACAAAAGGATTACATATTATATGATTCTATCTATATAAAATTATAAAATGTCCAAAATTAGCACACCTATATGTACATAAATTACATAAAATATAATACTGGTTACCTAGAACTAGGAGGATGGAGAGAGAAATACTTGTATTGGGTATGAGTTTTCCTTTTTGTTTTTTTGAGAGGGAACCTCACTCTGTTGTCCAGGCTGGAGTGTAGAGGCACTATCTCGGCCCACTGCAGCCTCTGCCTCCCAGGCTCAAGTGATTCTCCAGAGTAGCTGGGATTACAGGCACCCACCACCATGCCTGGCTAAGTTTTGTACTTTTAGAAAAGATGGGGTTTCACCATGTTGGCCAGGCTGGTTTCAAACTCCTAACCTCAGGTGATCCACCCACCTCTGACTCCCAAAGTGCTGGGATTAAAGGCATGAGCCACCACACCAGGCCAGGTTTCTTCTGAGGGTGACTAAAATGTTCTAAAATGAGGTTCTGATGATCACAGAACTGTGAATATACTAAAAACTATTCAATTGACCACTTTACATGCGTGAGTTGTACAGCATGTAAAATATGTCTCAATTAAACTTTAAAAATAGATAGCAACATTCTTGCATAAAACAAGCCTAGAGCAAGACAAGGTGAGCAGAATATACGTTTTATGAAAACAGGGATTTGACTCTCTTTTTTTACTGCTGAATTGTCTGCACCTAAAATCTATAGCTAGCACCAGATATATATTCAACAAATTTTTGTCTGAAGTCTTAAGTTAGGAATGGAAAAGCAAATAGCTGTAAGCTTAAACTCATTTTCAAATTGTTAGGTTTTTACTAATTATTTTGTTCTCCATCTGTCAGCAGTGTAACAAAAATAATCTTTCTTCTCATTCTTGTATACTAGGGATGTTGTATACAAGATTGCTCCCCTGTGGGCAGCAGTCCAAACCAATATCTGTTATTGTCAGCCAAGGTAGAAAATGTGCTAGCTGAAAAAAGACAGAGCTCTAAGACATCAGAAGCAATTCTGTGCTGGCTGGCCTACAAGGGTGTGCACAGACCTTGTTATGATAAACCCAACTGGAATAGTGTCTTAGAGGCTTATACTAAGTCTGGAGACTAAGATGTGCATGTCTACTTCCTGTCTTCGATTTTTTCTGTTTGTTTGCTTGTTTTACCAGGTATGAAAAAAGGAAAAACATGCTGGTTACCAGTCTGAGGTTGATGCCTCTAGTTCCAGCATATGGGCTTTCTTTGAGTGGTTTGTCAGTAAGGTAGGTCTAAGAAAGTGGATCCTATCTCAAAAGACCTTAATCCCCTGTCTCTCAGGACATTGTCTCATCAAGAAATTCTATTCCTATTATTGCAGATGCTAATTTACTAGCAAGTTTGGTTACATTTTTTGGACATAGAATCTTTAGGTGTTTTTTTTTACTGTGGCGATTGTTTTGTTTTGTTGCTTGATTTTCTTTTGTTTTATTTATTTATTTTTCACTTAGGTTTATTTTTGCAGACTATGTCACCTGGCTTTCCAGATAGAGGTTCCTGTTTGGCTCAGGGGCGGATCCTAATGCTTTTCTTGTCTCAGAAGTTTTCCCAATTCCAATAAAGTAGATTATTTGCTACTTTCTATCTTCCTTACATGAAATTAGCATGGGTATCCAAAACTGATGCAGACATGTAGCTGATCAGTTAATATTCTTTATCAGTTAATGACTCTGCTTAATAATTAGATACAGATAATTTATGGACCTACCCTAATATTTAACAAAACTGTAAAAATAAGTTCAGTAAACAAAAGAGTAAATTAGAAAAAGAACAACGATGAATTAACACTTCAACAACCCAGAGTTGTACACAGATAGTTCTATAAAGCACTATAGAAAAATTGGAATTTAAATGGACTGAAGTAACTAAATAGATACATATTGGATACTGCTTTTGAAAAGGAAAGTGAAAGTTATGCTCAACAAATATAATTTTGCAATACAAGAACATATTCATTTTTAATTAACTATGTTAATAATATTGCTTCTATACATGAATGTTACTAAAATTATGTGTGAATGAAAAAATATGTAGGACTTTAGATAAAAATAAAATATATAATACTTAATATTATATTTAGAAATAATTAAAAATAGTTCCATGCATTGTATGGTACATACAAATTTTTGTTTTAGGCAAGTTTATTCAAATTGATTGTCGTTAAGTTGCTTGTTTTTTGGGACCACTTATTTAACTATCTCAAAGTCTTAGAAGTGCCTTATAATAAGGTACTTCTAAGTACCTTAGAATATACATTTCTGTACTTTAGTATTTTACCCAAAAAAATATACTCTTCTAAAAGGGAAACACATTTAGCTCATTTGTATAAAATACAATTAAACACTTTTTCAAAAAAAAAAATACACACACACACACACACACACACAAGTAAACCCAAGTGAAGGAGAAATCTGTTAGATCTACTACTCTAACTATAGAGTATAATTTCAGTGGATAGCTTGATGAGAACAGAAACATAAAGAAACTACTGGGCGTTTCTTTTATGACAACTTTCTGTGGCTCTTTTTTCTGAAAAGTGTGGTTGACAGCATTTCATGTGTATATGCACCATATCTTGTGTTCTATTGCCCCAACTATAGTTTTGTGGCTAAGTTTACCCTGTCATCAGAGTATTGAGCCATCAATAACTTGGTCTTATGTTTTGTTTAACTACATCACAATAACCACATTGATAAAAAAATTTCAAACATAACCATAATTATTTAAATATAATGGTAGAAGTTGAATGTGTTGTAGTAGAAAAACTCAGCATGTTCAGGCAGTGATTAATGACAATGAATTAACAGATAAATACTAGTTTTACAGTATCCAAAAATGGGGAAATGTTTTAAGTAGCTCATATTTTAAGGTCCCTTTAGACACCAGAATTTATTTTTTTTATTTATTTATTTATTTATTTTCCCCATTTATTTATTTTATTGCATTTTAGGTTTTGGGGTACATGTGAAGAACATGCAAAATTGTTGCATAGGTACACNTGTGGCAGTGTGATTTGCTGCCTTCCTCCCCATCACCTACATCTGGCATTTCTCCCCTTGCTATCTCTCCCCAGCTCCCCACCCCCCCGTCCCAACTGACCCCCAACTGACCCCAGTGTGTAGTGCTCCCTTCCCTGTGTCCATGTGTTCTCATTGTTCAACACCCGCCTATGAGTGAGAACATGCGGAGACACCAGAATTTAAATGCTTGAGTGTAGAACATAATTTCTATTGTATGGGGGTATCATAAAGTGAAATATTTATAAGTTTTAGGTTGAGAGAAACCTGAGTTTTAACTCTGATGCTGCTACATATTGGCTTCATTTCTTGACTCTAAGATAAAATCTACGTATCTGCTTAATTTTATTGAGAGAAGTCAACAAAATAATATATGTAGAGTGTCTGACACATTCTAGACACACAATGATAAGCATTCTTATTAAGTTGTTTATTGTAGTTACTTGATACGACCAGATTTATAAATCACTGTTATTAAGATCCAGAGCAATCTTTGCAGGTAAATGATTTCAAAAATGATGTTTCTCTATTCTAAGTGGCTGTCTACCTCCTTTTGTATTTTGAAA